TCTGCGGGCGCGTTTTTCTCCTTTTTTGTCACCCATTGGTGATGTCATCATCATGGTCCATGGGTGTTCTGAGGACCAGATTTGGAAACCACTGTCCTGAAGTCCTTCTGTTTCCAACATCCCTCTGTCTCCCCAACAAGACTTGCAAAGTAAACAAAAGGGACATCTGGGGTCAATCTAGATTTAAAAAAAAACACTTTTAAAATGACTTCAGTGTCTCTATAAATGGTCACTGCAGCTGTAAAGAACTGGAAACCTGTCGCTCAGAGTAGGGTAGAGGCAGAAACTGTCACAGGGCTCTGGGCCAGGGATAGGACTTAGCTCCATGCTGAGCAGACCACAGTAGGCAGGTAGGTAGGTAGCTGGCTAGTTCCTCTCACGTCCTTGGCACATGAGGAAGATTCTGGGGGTATTGATCTGTAAAGATAGTGTGCATGTTCCCTCAGACTGGTAGAGCTGTTTTTTATGTCCTCTGATTCGAGGGTCCTTAGAGACGGGGAGTGACAGTGGGGAGAAAAAGTCCCTCAGTAGCTGTGGAGAGGAGACAAGATACTAGTTCGGTGCCTGCCATCTAATATGCACTCAGTAAATACTTGTGATTGATGTGTGGGGTGTGTGGTATACTTTACAGTAGATCTAGAGCCGGCCAGACAAGTCTATACTCTGGTTCTACAACTAACTGTTTGGAACAATCTCTGATGTCCCCAAACTTCAAGAAACACGTGCCTGTGGCAGGCAGGCGTCTTCTCTACACATATCAGAAGCCATACTCCCAGTAGCTTAAACCAAAAAGGAAACTTCTAGCTCACATAGCTGGGAGAGGCACCACAGCAAAAGTTGTGACCTTGGGGCAGGACCCAGTGTCTCCAAGATACTTGCTCTTTGTCTTTGCCTGACTTTTGCAGCTAGGTTCTGTCCATGTGGTGGGGACGCAGCCATTTACAGCCCAAACTTGGGCTTAGAAAGAGGGCTCTCTCTCTCTCAACATCAATATATTTATCTCAGAGAAGTCTTTGATTGGGCCTGCTTTGGCCCTAGCCAGACCTAGGTCACATGCTTGGACCTATGGTGAGGGAAGTGGATGGGGTTACCAAGGGGAGGGGGGAGAGGAAAGCCAGATGGGCAGACAAAACAATAATTATAGTACTTGCAATACCTAAAGTCTGCATGTATGTGTGTGTGTTTATGCGTGTGTGTGTGTATGTGTGTGTGTGTGTGTGTGTGTTTGGGTTAAGCAGTTAAGCGTCTGACTTTGATCAGGTCACGATCTCACAGTTGATGAGTTTTGAGCCCTGTGTCAGGCTCTATGCTGACAGCTCGGAGCCTGGAGCCTTCTTTGGATTCTGTTTCTGTCTCTCTCTGCACCTCCCCTGCTCATGCTCTGTCTCTCTCTCAAAAATAAACAAACATTAAAAAACAAAACAAAAAACCTCTGATCCTTGAAAAAAGAAAGAGAAAGAAAGAAAGAAAGAAAGAAAGAAAGAAAGAAAGAAAGAAAGAAAGAAAGAAAGAAAGAAAGAAAGAAAAAGGGCCCATGAAAAGGGATCATGTATGTGGGACCAGAACCAGGCTTGGCGTAGTCACAAGATTATTATCAGGTACCAATCATTTGGCTACACTATATGCCAGGCTCTTAATTGGGCTAAATATTTGTTACATACATTCTCATTCTCACAGTACCCCTAAGAAGTAGGTATTATTAGCCTCATTTTAAAGTTTTTTTAAAAGCTTATTTATTTTGAGAGAGAAAGAGAGAGCATGCGTGCTCACTCGAGCAGCAGAGAGAGAGAGGAGAGAGAGAATCCCATGCTCACTCCGAGATGCCAGGTGGTCAGTGCAGAGCCCGATGCAGGGCTCCATCTCACCAACTCTGAGATGACCTGAGGCAAAGTCAAGAGTCAGACGCGCTGAGCCAACTGAGCCAAGGGCACCCCTACCCTCATTTTAAAAGTAAAAGAGACATAAGTTAAGGTCACACAGGCCATGAGTAACTGAGCCAGATTCAAACATGGGTCCTTTAGGCTACAGAGCCCATGTTTTTTGCCCAAGGTCAAGTTGCTGCTTTAGAAACCAAAGCTGAAAGCTTGCTGACTGGTTGCAGAGAGCACACTCCCAGCCGCAGCAGGTGTGGTCTTGCCAGGGTGGGCAGCCACGACTTTCATGCATTTCTGGGCTGCATACTTCCTTTGCCCCCTGTCTTACAGGCCCTTCGTGGCGAATGGAGACAGGCGAACCACTTGTGGCCACACATGGGTTACGTCGCCAAATGAATACCAAGTGGTATTTCTCCCAGACTTGGTCACCCAGTTGGTGACTCTGCCTGGAATTTCCTAGTGGTCGGCCTGTCAGGTGAGAAGAAATGGGATGGGGTATGGAGGGACACTGGCATGGCAAAAAAATCAAAGGATGTCATCACTCACTGAAATCACAGACATATCTGCAGCCCTTGATGGTTCCCTTCCCCACCCCCCTTCCCCCGGACCCCCTTCCCGCTGCCTCTCCAAACCACTCAGCACTTCACAGTGAGAGAGACCCTCCTGAAATACTATCCCTCCTGCACCCACCCCTGCTCCGAACCTCGGTGGCTTCCCTTTGCCCACACTCATTACGGAGGCTTCTCGGGCTCCTCTGGACCTAGACCCTCCCCCACCCCACCCCACCCCACCCCACCCTCCACCCTCCACCAGCTTCTCCAGCTTTCTCTTTTACCACTGTCCCTAACACTTTGGAATGCAAAATACTTGGAACGACAGGATAGCAACAAACCAGATGTGGCTATTTAAATTTAAATTAATTCAAATGAATTGAATTCTAGTTAAAAATTTGGCTCCTCGGTCACAGGAGTCACTTTTCAAGTGCTCAATAACCTCTTGTGCTTGTGGCTACCAGACTGGACAAGGCAGATCTACAATGTTCCTATCACCACAGAAAGTTCTATTGGACAGCACTAGGTTGGACTTCCTCTCTTACAAAGGAAGATCTGATTAAGGAACATTAACAAACAGCTTTAGAGAAAATCAGTGACTCTTTCAACAGATATTTGTCATCTATCGTATTCGAGGCCCTGAATATGCAATAGTGGGCAGTTGTAGCTTGGCCCTTTTCTGGGAGTAAAAAGGCAATTGCTGGAAGGTGTCCTAAGTGCCTGAGTCCAGGTTTGGGCATCTGGGAAGGCTTCTCGGAACAGAGGACATCCAAGTGTGACCTGCAGGTTGAGGAGGTACTAGCTAAACTGAGTCACTCTCTAGACCAAGCTCTTTTTGGCCCTCAGTGGCCCTTATCACAAGCTGTTTTCACTGCCTGGTCCGCACTAACTCTCTTTTTCCCCGGGGAGGGAAGGGCTGAAGCTAGTTCCTTGAAGTTAGTTTTCCAACTGGAACCAAGCAGAGTCTCTGTGAGGCCACCAACTCAAGAGCTCTGAGCTGGCATTGGGGCGAGGCAAATTCGGAACTAGGAAAAGCGGGCCCTAGGGTAGAGGGCTCCTCAGAAGTCGAAGCTGAGAATCTGGCGGGAGATGTGAGAATCTGACTGTACCCCGAAGCCCACCCCGAAGTTGGGCTCTCCACCCTCTCAGCCCCTGAGGTCCCGCCCGGTCAGGCTGGGGAAGGTCCAGAGGGCGCCAGGGCTACTAACAGAGCCAGGGAAGCCGTCCTGGGGTCTCCTGTCCCCCTGCTTCTGCGGGAGCCTCCGGCTGCTAATCCCCTCCCCACATCGCACAGCTGCGCCCACCCTCACCGGGCCCTGCGCCACCTGCCACATGCTGCTTCTCTTCCAGGTGGCCTGGCCAGAAACTGCATCCCTGAAAGTGGCAGTCACGGACCCGGATTCTCGTGTGCTCATCTGGGAGAGAGGCGCCGGAGCGCTCCCCATCAGGCCCTGCACTGTCCTCCCCGCTTTCCAGAGAGCGCCTCACCTAAGCCTCCTCCCCCTGGGATAATTGTGTAGGGACAATTAGCTCTGCCTCTGTTACAGAAATTACGGAGGGGGTGATATGTCAGAGCCGGCAGTGACGCGGAAAACCGCCAACGCTCCACGACCTTGGCCCCGATATCACGCATCTCACGGTGCCCCGGGGCACCCCTCTCTCATCTCCCCGCGCTCCTGCCGGGGCCTCGGCACGATCCAGGGACTCCCCGCCCTCCAGAGTCCGGGGGCCGCCGGGAGGCAGAGCCGGAGGCCCGGCCGGCGGTGGGAGGTCCGGCCCCCGGTGCCAGCCTGAGCGCCAGGAGGCCGCAGAGCCGCCCTTTGTTTCGCGGCGCTCGCGGCTTCTGCGCAGTCACGGTCACATGGCGCTTCCGGCACCGGGTGTTCCCGGCGCTGCGCCAGGGCCCGGGGGCGTCCCCCCCCCCCCCCCGCTCCCGCCGCCCCGCCCGCCGGCGGGCCGCGCGTCAATCTCGGACCCTCCGGGTGTCCCAGAGCCGGAGGAGGCGGCTTTGCTCTCTGGCCTCTCGTCTTCTCGGAACTCCACCCTTGGGCCTTCCGTGGCTATTGATCTTAGCACTGGCGTGTCCATTACCCATTTGCTACCTGGGGTACGCCTGCCTCCCCTACTCTAGACAACGCCAAGTGAGCAGTCAGGCTCATCCCTCCCTGGAAGAACTCGATGCGGCCAATAGGTGGTAGACAAGTACTTAACCAAGGCCGTGCTCATCATTTAATGGGGCGGTAGAGACAGCGCCAAGCGTTTCCGACCCCTTCTCCACTCTGACCTCCACAAACAAAATAAAACAAAAAATCAGCCACCCCCGGGCTGGCCTCCTCTGACCGTCTACAGGCAAAAGACCCAATCAGGGGCAGAAATGCGGCTGGCCCTTCCTGCCCTGGCCACCGCGGCTCCATCACTCCTAGGGCCAGTCTGTCCCCTGCGGCACTTAAGAACCTTGAAACCTCATGGAGGCCTCACAGAGGCCGCCTCTGATTCACTCAGCAGATTCAGGAATTCATTAAACAAATCTTTATTGAAAGCGGACTATGTACGGTGCAAGCAAAGATGCCAGCCCTGGGCTAAGCCCCGAAAAGTATGTGAAAGGATGCTCTTTGTGTCAGGAGAGTACCCTGGGTTGTTCCCCTGAGGCTCTCCTTCCCCGGGAGGCTTTCATCCAAAGCAGCTTGGGAAGCCCTAGTAAACTGTGCAGACACAGCCATGCCTGGGGACAGGGAATGGGGACCCCGCCTGATGCCTGCTTCCAGTCCCCGCAGAGGCAGCGCGGCGGAGCAGGGCAGAGCCAGGCTCCGGTGAACATGGGGTGGGGTCTCAGGGGCTCTTTCTGCCTTGCCTCTGGGCAACCTTTCCCAAAACCTGTCATCCGGGCCTGCGGGGAATGGGGGCAAGGGGATGGGGGAGAGTCTGGAGGGGTGGAGACTTGGGAGGGACCAGAGGGAGGCGCAAACTATGGGGCCGGCAGTGGCTGTGTACAATCAGCTTTGGCGTCAGGGCCTGGTGGGGAAGAGCAGGCAGGTGAGCAGCCGGCTACCGCTGTGTCTGTCCACAAGGGGCAGGGGGTGCTGTGTGTAGTGCTGGACCATGGCAGCCACGGAGGAGAACAGCTGGACAGGAATGCAGGGCATCGGTGAGTCCCCTGAGCCTCATGCCTGGAAGAAACCTCCTGAAGGAACTGAGGGGCTCTGGGGACGGTGTTTGTTGACATTGTTCTGAATACTTTCCCTCTTGTTTGCCCCATGAAGCTCCACTGCCGTTTTGCTGCCCAGTTCCAGGCCCTGCACAATTTTCGTGCAACTGCACCCACGGGCATGTTGTTAGCCAGCTCCTATTTCCCAGGCCGGGTAGAAATAGTTTTGGGGCCATGCCTCTGCCCCAGTTCTCCAGCACGTAGGCCTCAGGAAATGCTGGACACAAAGTTGAATCCTTGGGATGGACAGGAGCCTGGACTACCTGGGCCCTTCCCTCCTCCTAGCTGGGTTCACGGCAAGCTCAGTGCCCGTCACCGAGCCCTGGGCAGACCGTACCCTACAACAGGAGTGCCTCCCCCAGAGGAAGGCAGACCTCTGGGAAAGAATCCGAGTCACTGGCCACTGTCATTTCCACCCAGTCCAGAAAAAAAAAAAAAAAAGAAGCAAAATGTGGGTTTTCTCCTGGGCAAATGCTCCTTGCAGGAGCGTATGGCTGTGCTCTGCCCCCTCGCCCTGTAGCCCCCATCCAGCACCCACCTCCTCGTGGTTCCTGCCCTCCCGGCCCAGGGCGTAGTGGCTCCCATCGCCCAGCCGCCGGATGGGAATGTTGAAGACCCGGCCGTGGAGAAGTACTGCCAGGGTAAGGGGCTGCGAGCCACGAGGCTCTGAGCTGGGGCGCACAGTGTAGGCCCCATCCTGTGGAGGAGACCCTGTCCATCAACCTCATCTCCCCACTGTCTGCCTGAAGCCCTGGCCAGCAGTGCCCTTGCCCTCCCACCCCCACCTGCTCAGCCAGCCACAGCTCGTGAGCAGGAGGGGCCCCGAGAAGGCCCAGGGGGGCTGCGGTCACCCACCTTTCGGAATTGGAGCAGCGCACACTCGACAGCATGGCGGTCACGGTTCCCTGAGTACCATGGCTGAGCCAGAAGGCTGCTGTCCTGTGTACACACACGAGCAGCCATTCAGAGATGTGCCAGGGCAGTGGAGGGGGGCTGGGGAGCAGAGAATCCTGCCCTACAGTCACTTGTGTTCCCATCTGCCTTCCCTAGACATCTGCGCCAGCAGAACGGAAATGTGCCCATGCCCTGTGCCCAGCATGGTGCTGCACACACAGGCTCAATCCGTGTTCCTCGCAATGGCAAACGCCCCCACAAGAGGCCTCCTCCCGAGCCCTCCCTGCCCCTCCTCACCTCAGCAGCTGAGGGGCTCCGGGTGGGTGCTGTAAAGGAAAAAGAGGACCTCCTTCCTGCTGAAAGAAGCAGATTGCAGAGCTGAGGCTGGGTGGGGATTCGGGCCGAGAAGGCTTTGGGCCCAGCTGCAGGGGATGGGGGAGGGTAGAGGGCGGCGCGCATAGGCCTGAAGCCCCAAGCAGGGCACCCCGTGCTTCATCCCCCCTCTCCAGGTCTCGGGGCGTGGTAGGACCTACGAGCTGGGTCATGAGTGACCTCCGAAGGAGGAATGATCTTGAGGTACAGGCTGGAAGGTTCCTGCTTGGGTGCAAACCCTGGAACATGCACAGGGGGATCCCCTCAGGCCTCCTCTCAGCTGAAGTCAGGGCTGTGAGGACCCCCACAGCCAAGTGGGGCAGGAGAGGCTGGAAAGGAGCCTGTGGCCTTCAGGGTTGTGGCTGAGGTGGGAGGACTACCTGGGGTTCATGGTGAAGACGCCTCTACTCACCTTTAGAAGTGGCGTTCGCAGCTCCCTGGGACACAGGGACACAGGAGGGCTGGTCAGAAGAGACTCGGTCCTGTAGGCCCACCCCCTGGGCCTCCTCCCATCCCCACCAGGTTACTTCTCCCCTGGCTACTAGCCTCTTACATTCCGAGCTTCCTGGGGGGCTACGGTGGGCCTGTGGGGAGCAAGTTGGGGAAGAGACTCAGGGTTTTATCTCCTTTAAGAGAAAGAGCCCAGTGAACTCAGAAATCCCAGCGTCAGAGCTGGGGAAGCTTGAGTTGGCCATCTTGTGTACACACACGTGTCCCTGGTGGGCACTCACCTGGGCACCACTGATGTCCTTGGCAGGGGGACTGGGGGCATCAGCACTTGAGAGCTCAGAGTTCGGGTCAAGGCTGGGACTGAAACAGCGAAGGCAGGCTGGGCTGGACTGGGTACCAGGCAAGGAAATCCACACTGACCAGCGAGGGGTGCGGATGCCTGCAGGCCTACTGTCCCTCAGCAGCCTGGGCTCTCTGGGAGTCCTTCCAACCAGTGAGGAAGCCCATGCAGCCCTTGCTTTAAGGGCCCCCCCGCCCCGCTCTAGTATGCACAGTGGGGGTCAACCTGGACGAAAGGCCGAAGCGTGGGTGTCCGTGTGGGTGTCCGAAGGCACATGTGTATTGGTGGGGTAGTGGGGAAGGCAAGGGAAGAAGTCGCAGCCAGAACGTGTCCTGCTGTGAGCAGCTGAGGGCCTCGGGGCAGGATGGGTCTGGGGTAGAGGGAAGTGTTCACCTGGACTGGGCTCACACTCCATGTAGAGGTTCTCATCGGATTTCTTTGGAGGGCCTGGCACCTAAGAGTTTGACCAGCAAATGGGAGGGAGGGAGAAGCCATCACTTGGGGGTGCTATGGGCACCCCCCACACACATACAAGCTGGACCTCCTTCTGAGAGCTAGCTAGAATGATTAAAGTTGCCCTTTTGCCTGGGAGGGGGCACCCACAAGCACCTTCCCCTTCAGAGGTGCCTACAGGCACCAGCTCTCCTACAATGTGGGTGGCCGGGATGGGCCCAGAGGCGAGGTTCCCCACTAGGTTGGACAGCATATGCCTTGTCAAGGGCTTGTGGCAAAGACGAGCCACTCTGCTCTGGGCCTTTTCCCTTGGTTTCAGGGCTATTTCCTGGCCCTCCCAGGCCCCCTACCCCAACTCTGACAACTTCCTAGCCAGAACCCTACAGGATGAGAATGGCCACTCACCATTCTGGCAGGTGTAGCCAGCTCTGGAAGGAAAAGGAGAAACCACCAGTCATGAGCACAGGGAGAAAAGAATTCAGTGAAACTGAGGCTGGAAGAATGGAGGATCTTTGGAGCTTATCTAAAGGGATCCTCAGAGCCAGCTTTGAAGCCCCAGGAGAAAGCCACCTTAAGCTCCGGTCGCCCTACTTCACATCCCCGGTGGTGTGGCCTGGCTTGACCTCCCAAATGATTTGCCAGGCTTGTTCCAAATGACTTCGGGCTGTTCCACAAATCAAAACCACCCTCAAGGTCATGAGGTTTACCAACCACAGAGCACAGTAAATATGAATGTGCCTCAGGTTAGCTGTTTGACCTTAGGCAGGAGGAGACTGCCCCTGTTGTGCCATCTTCGGACAAAAACGTTCTGACTGAGGTCCCTTGATATCCTGATATCCCAGGGTTCTGGGTTCACTGGCCTCAGGGCACGTATCACAGGCAACGTCTCTGGACAGTGGTAGTAATAATGACATGGGTGGGATCAGAGACTGGTGGCCGAAGAGCCCACTCGATGGGGACATGCCACTCAGATGTGTTTCAATAGTGAGGATCCCCCAGGCAGGGGAGGCTGCCCTGCAGATTTTGAAGTGTCCCTTGCCTGACCCAGAAAGCACAGCAGATGCAGAATAGGACCTGGAAGTCGGGGACTCGGCTTTTTTGTCATCTCAGGCAAAGGTCTCCAGGCCTTGGTCTCCTCCTGAACTGCCTGCCTTAGCAGGGAGTGGGAGTCAGCAGGTAAAAATGAGGAACAGTGGGAGGAAGGCAGTGACCAGGCAAAGCACGAGCCCAAGTAACCTGAACTCAAGTCAGCCTTGAGGGGGCAGGACTCCCCATCTCAGGCCGGGGAAGGAGGGGGTGGGCCTCTGAAGGAGACAGGACAGCCTCATTACCTCGCTTCCCAAAGGGATGTCCCTGTTTCCTAGCCTCCTGCAGGCTCAGTATTGCCTTCAGCTGTGGGCACAGAGGGGAGGGAGAACAGGGTCAGGGGTGGGGGGAGGAGGGGAACTGAGGCACGGGAAGGGCAAGATGGTGGGGTGGGGTGCAATGGGGTTAAGTATATCTGCACGGCCTTAAAACCAGTACAATACAAGAACTAATGTACAGAGATGACCTGCCTCGGCTTTGTGCTCTTGGTTGTGAATCTCTCCCTGTTTTTTCTTTTTATTCCAATAAAATATATGATGAAAGTGGTAACTTCTGAGCCCCAAAGCTTTTCTCAGCCCAGCGGGCCTTTCCAGCTGGCCGTGGTGGCAGCCAAGTGAGGGATTTCTTCACTCTCTAGGCAGGGAGGGGACCTCGGGCTCCAGGGTCCAGCCTTCCCAGCTCCAGTGGAGGAGGGTGAGTCCTGGGACGCTGACGGGGGGGGGGGAGGAGGGGGAAGGGAGCAGCAGCTGGTAACAGGGCTCTGCTTCTGACACATCTAATTTTTCAGGGGCCTCTAGAATGCAGATGTGGGGGAATCTCTCAGATGAGTTGCCTCTTAGATTTACTCACTGGGAAATGCTAGCCTGGGGTGAAGTGGGGTGGGTGGGGAAGGAGGCACTTGGGCGGTGGGGGGGAGGGGGTTATTCACCGTTGTGGGCTGGGGCTGCGGTTGTGGTTGCAGTGGTGACTTGCATGGGCCCAGGGGGCCAGGGTGATCTGGAAAAGACCCCAAGGATTGTGGGCCGGTGGGTTCCTCCCACACAGGTTCCCATTTTCCTCCCACCTCCTACCTAGCCTTTATTTCCTCCTCTCCTCCCTCCCCCTCACTGGCTTCCCCACAGCCCCATCTCCATGGCAACGGGAGGCAGCCAGTTTTCCTGCCCCCACCAAGTCGAGGAGTCCTGGGGGTGGATGCCAGCGGCAGCCGGGCTCTCCTGGCATCCCTACCTTGCTCCAAGAAGTGCGGGATCTCAGAGGAGGCCCCAGGGACCCTGTGGGGCCTCCTGCTTTCCCACCGTTGCCTTGGTTACAGTGCCCCTCCAGGCTCTCCCCTTCCCACTCTCCCTCCTGCCTTTCTCCCCCCTGCCTCCTCCTCTCCTCCATCCTCCCTCTCTCTCCCTCTCTCTCCCTCTGTCTAGCCCAGAGGCTTCAGCAACTGCCAGCTGAGGCCTCGCCCCCAACCCCCCCTCCCAGTGCAGACAAAGGGAGAAGAGGCACAGCCTGCACCCTCTTTCCTTGTGAGGACCCTCTGTGCTGCCTGACCACCAACTGCCTTCCTCAACTTCCCAGCCCGTACCCAAGTACAAAGAGTCCTCCTGGGTGCCAGGAAGGTGGGCAGGGGCAAGGCTGAGGGGTAGAGCTTCACAGGGGGGCAGCTCATATTTATCTTCCTCCTCTTCCTCCTCCTCCTGGGCTTTCTGGAAGGGCTAGAAAAGGCGCAGGACCTGTGGTAGCCGCCCTGTCCCACCTCCCTCCTTCCCAGGCTCAGCAGCTGTACTTACTGTGTGTCTCCAGGTCCCCGAGGCAGGCAGAGGACACGGGCTGGGGACATCTTTTTTCCAAGCTGGGGAATCTGGACAGGGGACTGATGAGCCTGGCCTTATCTCCCAGCGCCCCCCACCCCACAAGGACTTACTCTTTGTCTCCAATATAATAAACCATCTGCACTTTTACAGTAGGCCTCAATGATTCACTCAAGTCAAAGGAACCATTCATGATGAGCCTTTCCAACACTGCAGCAGGGCCAGTGAGGTAGGCGTTTTGAAAACAAGGGGGCCTCCCAGCTAAGTGCCTGTTCCACCTACGGCAGCCCCCTACCCCATGCACCCTGAATTCTGAACAAGACAGATGGAAAGGCTGGGCCCCGTGACTTAGCAAAGCTGGACTACGATGGAAGGTAGGAGGACTTCCTGGACTACCCAGGAAGGTTCCAGGGCCACTCAGAGGAGACTCTACTTCTAGGGGACCCCATTCTGCTTGCAGGGGGTCACTCTTCCCATTGTCACTTACCTACACATCTGGGGGGTGGAAGGGGTGGCCCCAACCTGCAATCAGACTCTAGTCAACTCTGCCCAAAGGGCCCTTGAGTTTGTGTCAGCCAGACACTGCACAACCCCCAGGACATCCACATCCATGACCATGTGAATGGCGCCCCCTGGAGTTGTGCGGCAGTAGCCTGGGATCAGGAAGCAGGAAGAACAGTCCAGGGGGGCTGATCCAGTGCCCGGTGGGTACACAGCTGGATTAGTTGGTGCCCCAGTGAAGCTGGTAGTGGGAGAGCCCTAGTGCTTACCGTGAGATAGAGGTACGGGAATGATTTCACTGGGCAAGTAGGACCATGTCAAGAAAGGGGCAGTGAGATAGAGATCAGAGAGGAGGCGGAGGAAAGAGGGGAGCTGAGTACTCACCGGGGTTGGCTCCCCCTGAGCTTGTCCTGGAAAGAGAGAGGGGCATAATGGGGGAGTCAGTGCAGCTGGGATGCCTCTCCCTGGGGAGATTCCTGGGCCCCAAAGAGTGGGCAGGTCTAAGCACTTCGGCTGCCCTAGAACTCTCACCATGGCCTCACAAAAGGAGTAATGCCTCCTTAGAGCCTAGGCTCTGCCACAAATGGCCTGGGGACAGAGGCCCTATTGTTCTAATTATTTGCATCTCAGAAGCACCAGGAAGGTGGGCCTGCTGTGGCCTCTAACCCCAGACCTAGTTGCCCCAAGAGGCTCCCGTAGCCTCCCCCACATTGCCTCCCTGAGCTGTGGTCCCCAGTCTCCAGCCCCTCGCCCCACAGGAGGAAGGGTTCTCCCCTCTGCCCCAGGGCCTCAGGCACACAAGCCTGGACCAAGGCTCAGATCCCTCCTGCAACTCCCTGATCCATGACCCCTCCTCCCAGAGGCTCAAACTCATCAAAGGATCAGTCAGACTTTCCTTTCCTACCTCACAGAAGATATGACATTAATGGGCAGATCCCGTTGACAATGAAAGACTGACTTTGCACTTTTCTTAAATGCTTTATGCTTACTGTCCTTTCCTGGTGACTGGTGATCAATGATCAAAGAGGTAGAGGTTAATGAAAAGCTCAGAAATATGCATATGTATTTTGACAGTTTCCTTTATGGCTTTAGTTTGACAGCCTCCTTTATGGATGGATGTATTTATTCATTGAATACACTGAATATTTATCTAACATCCACTATCTGCCAGGCACTATTTCGGTGCGGAAGATGATGTAGGAAAACTGAATAAGCAGGCATGTGTATTTCCTACTGGATTCTTACAATATCCTCATGATGCAAATGCTAGTTTTATGCCTGTTTTTCAGATGAGGAATCTGAATGTATTAGTCAGATCAGGCTACCATCACAGAATACCACAGATGAGGTGGCTTGAATGAGAGAAATTTATTTTCTCACTGTTCTGAAGGCTAAGGGCCCATGATCAGTGTGCCATCCGAGCTGGTTTCTTTTTTCTTTCTCTTTTTAAAAATTTTTTATGTTTATTTATTTTTGAGAGAGACAGACAGAGAGACAGAAACAGAGCACAAGTGGGGGAGGGGCAGAGAGAGAGGAAGAGACAGAATCCAAAGCGGGCTCCAAGCTCTGAGCTGTCAGCACAGAGCCCGATGCGGTGCTCAAATCCACAAACTATGAAATCATGACCTGAGCCGAAGTTAGATGCTCAACCACCTGAGCCACCCAGGCGCCCCCAGTGTTGGTTTCTGATGACAGTTCTCTTCCTGCCTTGCACACAACTTCTGGCCTATGCTCTGTGCATGCATGCAGAGAGCTATCTCGGATCTCTTAAGGACACCAGTGCTATTGAATCAGGGCTCTACCTTTATGACCTCATTTAACTTTAATTACCTTCCTAAAGACCCTGTCTTCAAATATAGCCACACTGGGGGTCAGGGCTTCAACAGATGAATGAAGGAAGGGTACGGTTCAGTCCACATAGCTCAGAGGCTTTGAGAAATCGGATGACTCTCCCAAGGTTGACAATTAGCAAGCATTGGAGGATGAGATTCAACCCACGCTTTGCCTGTGCACTAACACTGAGCCATCCTGCATCTCATCTAGGCCTGAGTCCTTACCCTCCTTTCCTGTGAGGGAATTAGGCACAGCAGTAAACACGGCTTCCTTAAGGAGCCTATGACTTTAGGTGTTCTGTTACTTGAGTGAATTTTAAAATATTAGTATCTGAGAAGTGTTGGGGGCAAAAAGAAGGGCCTGGTGTCTGATTTTGTTTAAACCAGCAACTGAGGGGGCACCTGGGTGGCTCAGTCATTTGGGTATCCGACTTCAGCTCAGGTCACGATCTCACAGCTTGTGGGTTCGAGCCCCACTTCGGGCTCTCTGCTGACAGCTCAGAGATTCGGATTCTGGGTCTCCCTCTCTCTCTGACCCTCCCCTACTCACGCGGTCTCTCTCTGTCTCTCAGAAATAAATAAAACATCTTTAAAAAAATAAATAAATAAACCAGCGACTGAGGAAACACAGAGGAGGATCACGAACATAAGACTTTCCTAGGGCACTGTAACTTGCCTGTTTATCATTTTGGTGATGTCCTGGCTGTTGGAACAAAGAGTGAAGGTCATATGCTTACATCTTTGGAGGCCTTGGGGCTAGGGACACTGGGGTGAGAGCCCCAGGGCTGAGTTGGCGGCAGCCTTCAGAGAGGAAGACCAGCTGACTCCTGGGACCTATAGGCCAAAGAGCACTTAAGGAGCTATGAAAAATCACTGGCGTGTCTTAACAGGGGGCCCATGCAGTACAGTAGGGAAAGCTGAGAGAACAAAAACAAAGAAACAATGCAGGCCTGAGTCAGGGACCAGGTTCTCCTCCCTGACCTCCACTCCCCATTTGACCTTCGCTCCACATTTGGACCATATTGCAGGGGGCAAGCTCCCTTACCAAGGGGACTTTCTATGGGACAAGGTCAGCAGGTCAAAGTCTAGAGCAGGAGGCTCTAGAAACTAGCCCCACTGCCAACCCAAACTGAGTGGATTTCCCAGTCGGTACCGCCCTTGCCCCAGCCACCCCCCCTTCTGTTCCGGGCTTTGCATAGGCAAATGCCACCAGCTGGGTGAGCGAAAGGGCCGCGGGCACAGAGGATGGAATCGTGCCATCTGGGTGGGGGCACTGGCCTCGACAGATCGGGAGGAAGGGGGTGGAAGGAGGCCTGCCGCGTGGCTTTGTCTCACCCTGGCCAGCCCTGTGCGGGGAGGACTGTGCTTCTTACTAATTACACAGGCAGAGTTGGACAACCTCTTTCTCCTCTGGCACAGGACTGCTTTGTGTGTAACCATAGCTATTCCCTCAGGATGAATTCCTCGAAGCGGAATTGCTGGAAGCTCGCATTTTTGGTTGCGATGCCCCATGGTCTGGTAGCACCCCAGCGCCTGTTGTAAGGCGCTTCCATAGCACGCAGTGATTCTCCCCATTTTCCAGGCCTTAGTTATTGATCTCCATTGAGAACAGGCTATACTTTGCAGGCCCAGGGTAGTCTAAACCCACCCTAAGAAAACAGCTCTCCGGAGCACTGTTTCCCCTATTTGCATGATCACAAGAATTGCTAGAGAACTTATTAAAAGTCTTAGATTCTCAGATCTTCCCTGAGATCTTTTTTAAAAATATATTTATTTATTTTTGGGAGACACCAAGACAGAGAGCATGAGTGAGGGAGGGCTGAGAGAGAGGGAGATAGAGAATCTCAAGCAGACTCCATGCTGTCAGCACAGAGCCTGATGTGGGGCTCAAACTCATGACTTGTAAGATCATGATCTAAGTTGAAATCAAGAGGTGGACATTTAACCAACTGAGCCATCCAGGTGTCTCCCCGCTCCCCCTCCTTCCCCCCCACCCCCGCCGCTTACATGACATCTTATGGATTGGATGCTCCAGGAGGGGTTTGGGAATCTATATTTTAATTTTTTATTTTTTATTTTTAAATATTTAGTTTTGAGACAAAGACAGAGCATGAGCGGGGTAGGGGCAGAGATAGGGAGACACAGAATCTGAAGCAGGCTCCAGGCTCTGAGCTGTCAGCACAGGGCCCAATGTGGGCCTCAAACCCACGAATGGTGAGATCCTGACCTGACCCGAAGTCGGACACTCCACCGGCTGAGCCACCCAGTTGCCCCAGGAATCTATATTATTTTTAACAAATAAACATCTTAGATCAAGCTTATGATCAGTGGAGTTTGGGAAACGCTGTTGTATAGGAAACAGTCTAAGAACATGTGACTTCTAGGGCATTTTTAGAATCACATATGGACTTTTGCTTATTCAGAACACAGGGGTCCCCAGCAAAGAAAGAACATGACACAGACCCTGCTCTCAAGGGGCCACTATGAGTGATGGAGAGGGCACTCCCAAGATGTTCAATCTCCGGGCTTCGGTTTCCTCTTGTGTAAATGGGGATGTCAGTAAGGGTCCTTTTAGCGGGGGAGCTTCTGAGGGTCAAATGAGGTGATGGCACAAGAAACACAGCACCCACACAATAGATATCAGCTCTCTCTGAGATAGTGGTGTCGTGGTTCACATAGAAGACAGGGTGGGTGGCAAGGTCTAGCGGGGATTCCTGGTGTAAGAAAGTGGGAAGCACTGTGAGGAGGAGGGGGTGGTTTCCGAGGACCTGGAGAGGAAGGTAAGCAGGCCATGGACAGAGTTCTCAGGGGTGAGGGAGTGCAGCCGCCTAGAGCAAGAGCAGGAGATGGTGGTGGCGGGACTCCTGGAGAATGGCAGGGGACCTGGGCCATCCTTTCTGGCCCATGAGCATGTCCTGCATTGGGGCACTCTCCACCTTATAAATCCTGATTCCATCCACACGAGCCCAGGGATGTCCTCCCAGACTCCTTTGCAGCTGGGGTGCAGGCATTCGGCCAATCACATGCCCCACAGTAGACTTTGTGTCTGAAGCAGGCACCAAGAGGAACCCGTCCTGGGGAGGGGATGACCGCTGTATCCTACTTCCGGAGGCCGAGGAGGTTGAGACCCTCATGGGACCACCAGAGCCCACATTAGCAGTGTTGGCAAATAGGCCAACTCCACCAGGCCAACTTGGCTGTGACTTTTGGGTCATTGTTTCTGGCTGTTTTTCTGGTCTTCCAGGAGATGCTATGAGCTACAGAATATCTTTAATAAATTATTTTTCAGCCAAAACCAGCTAGGGTGGGTTCCGTTAAGAATTCCAGAGTTGAGACCACAGAAGCCCAAACTCTGAGGCCAGGCCTGGTGAGTGTCTCCTAGAAAGTTCAGACCGGGTAGAAAGAAGTGTCACAGCTTTATATTTCTATCCTCTTGAGACTGTGTTTATGACAAATATTAGTTATGTTTACAATAAAAAAAATCAGTCAATACAAATGTAAACAAGAACAACAACATAAGAAGGAAGCTAGGGAAGGAAAGAGGAATGGCCTGGATTTCGAATGTGAGGGAGCTCTGGGAGAAGGATGCACTAGGGAAAAGTAGGGCCCTGGAGGTGGCCCAGGGAAGGTCATCAGGGCGTGGGGCCACTCAGGACAGACAGACAGCTTTCCCTTAGCCAGGAAAGTACTGGGAAAGGTTGTGGGGGGGGGAACCTCAAAGGGGGTTGTTAATACAGGAATTCTTCTCCCAGGGGAATGGGAATCCATAGAGGCAAGTGGAAGGGGTGGGGTAGATAGTAGAAGTTTCTGAACATCAGGCTAGGGCCAAGTCAGTGGCATGGGGGGGGGGGACAGGCCTAAACTGAAGAGCTGGGGAGGGGAGACCTGGAAGTTATAAAAAAGGTCCTGTGAGGGGTCAGGGAGAGGGAATTCTCAAGATATTTTTACCTGAGCAGGTGGAGCCTGAGTCCAACCGAACTCTGTGGTTGGGTTAAAGTTATATTTCCGGACCCTCCCTCTATCTCCCTGAAAGTGATACAAAGCTCTGTGTGTAGCATGTCTCTGTGTTTTCCTGGAAGCCCAGAAAACTGTTTTCCTTCAGATTTTCCAAGGGTTAGGGTGGGGCCTGACAGCTGCCGCCAGCTTTGTAGGTCTCTAGAGTGAGGAGCACAAGCCAGCAGCACCTTCCGCCTGCCCCTGGTATGCCTCCGTCCCACACACCCTGTCCTTCCCTGAGCGGATTTTGTCCTGTCCCAGCTCTGCCTAAAACCCATAAGGGACTCACCATGGCTCCTTGAACAAAGACCAAATGTTTCTGTCTCCTTGTAAAATCAGGCCCTTACCTGCTTCTGCCACCCTATAGCCCCTCCATTTTTCCCATGGACTCACACTCAATTTCCCTTTGAGGTGACCGACATGACCCGGGTGGGGGGAGGGCTCACGGAGGCCCACTCTGCACCCTATTGACTTTAGGAAATTTCAGTTGGAAGAGATTTACATCTTTATTCCGTCCTTAGGAAAATAACAGAGGAGGAAAGCACCCTTAATGTATAGCAACACACAGTAAAAAGGAAAAAAGGACTCTTCTCTGTGTAAGACTTCAAAATTTTTACCCCACCCCCACCCGGATCCACTTTCCTTAGCTCAGCTCTGCAACTGGCAACGTTCTCTTCACAGATGGCGGAAGCACACTCTCTTTCCCCGGACCCCAGCCCTCTCCTGTCCACCTGGGCCTGATTATGCAGATCACCATAACTTCTTTAGCAATCTTTAAGCTTGATCCATTAGCCCTCTGCCTAGATTCTACAAAGAAGCACCTGGATAGAGAGCCCAGGAGGTGTCCCAGGGTTCAGGAAGCCTAGATAAGGTTGGGGGGCAGGGTGGCTGCAAACGCTTATAATGTTACATGGTTTCTTTCAACCCTTTCTGGGCTTTTCTAGAGGCTGCACCCTTGCCACTCTATTGCTGGAACACTCTGTCGGCTTTCCTCCCTTTTCCTTCAGGCCATAGCTTATGTGACCCTCAGGAGGGGTCCCAGACGTGGGCAGTCTGTCTCTCCCCCACAACACACCCTCTCTTGTGGCTCCCACCATAATTAGATCTAGAGGTTTATTTCAGAGCTAGACTAGAGACTCCCACTCGACTGGAAGCCCTCTAAATGGGTAGTGACTGTATCTGTTCAGTTCACGGCCAAATTCCAAGTGCCCAGCCCACAGCTTGGCACATAGCAGGCTCTCAACAAATATTTTAGCTACATACTCAAATCTCGCTCAAAGCCTGCATCTCTGTGAGCACCTACTATGTGCTAGGCATTGGCCTGGGCGCTGGAAAGACTGCCCAGAATGGCAGAAAAAAAAAATCCCTGACTTGTAGAGTCTAAATTTTATAAGGAGAGAGGGACGAGTAAGTAAGAATTAAAGAAAAGAAAAAGCCCGCCTCTCTGCAAACTTCTTTGGTGACTCTCTTCGGAAAGCCCATAGTTTGCTCCTTTACTGCCCATTGGACACTAGCCACCAGGCCTCCATTGAGCACAGCGTCCAGAGATCCTTTCCCTGCTTACCTACAAACAACTCCCTTCCCTAAATGCAGCTGGATTACCAAGGACTCTTCTCTGGGTATCTGTGACTGACTGTGCCCTTACACCTACTCGTTCTTTTCCTCTATTTACCTTCCTGTGTGTCTGTGGGGGGGGGGGGAGCATCTATTCCTCTCTCCTCCCTCTCTGCACTCTACCCCCTCATTCCTCCACCCCCCATCTCCCCGGACAGATATAATACCGCCCTGCTTAGGTTTCCCTCTTCAGCTCAGAGCCAGTAAACCCCATATTTGCTAATCCCGCGATTTCCTTGTTCCTTTCTCCTAGGACTGGTGAGCAGAGAGACTACGGAAAACCGGCCTGGCCTTTCACTCCCCCTTCGGAGAGACCGGGCACTTGCTGCTAGCGGATGTGTCTCCATCCCCACATCCTTCCTTGATGGGCGTGGAGGCCCTGAGGTCACTCTCCCCACCTTTACCAACGGAAAAATCGAGACTCAAGCAGAGATGGATGCTGGGCCTCGGGCCAAGGCCATTCAATCTTAAACGCGGGTCTGGAGCCCTCCATCCCCTCACCCCGGCTCGGTCCGCGACCGGTCCGCAGTCGTTCTGCGGGAAAGGGTGACCCCTGGTGGTAAAGAGAAGCGTGGCTGCCTGTCCTAATCCCGAGGACCCACAGACGAAAGGGCGAGGCCTGCAGAACCACCAACGCCGGCTAACTACCATCTGCTGTTGATGCAAGGACCTTGCAGAAATCTGTGGCGCCCTACACAAACGGAAGATTTTTAAAATAATGTACAAACAAGATGGAAGTTGTTATTAAAACGATGAGCTTCTGTTTGATTTTATTTTTTTTAAGATTTTATTTTTAGGGGTGCCTGGGTGGCTCAGTCGGTTAAGCATCTGACTTCGGCTCAGGTCATGATCTCACCACCCTGTGAGTTCGAGCCCCGCATCGAGCTCTGTGATATCAGCTCAGAGCCTGGAGCCTGCTTTGGATTCTGTGTCTCCTTCTCTCTCAGCCCTTCCCCCACCCACACTCCTTCTCTCTCTGTCTCTCAAAAAGTGAATAAACATAAAAATTAAAAAAAAAAAAGATTTTATTTTTAAGTAATCTGCACACCCAACCTGGGGCTTGAATTTATAACCCCCAAGACCAAGAGCCACATGCTGTACTGACTGAGCCAGCCAGGGGCCCGTCTGTTTGTACTTTCAAATGACGGTTTTAACAAACTTTTATTTAAAACATTCATGTGCCAAGGATAACTCTGTCAAAATGGGACTCTTGCAGTTGCATCAGGACGTATAAGCAGCATAGGTGCAGGTACTTTCATGTACAGAAGAGGTATGTTCCTGGGTTGCTCCCATGGCTCTGAAGGGGAACGAATCCAACTTTTGGTGCACCATACCCTTGGCCACATTCCCTGTAATGACCTAATTAACACTGCCCTTTGACTTTCCCCGCGCCCTGTAGGCTGCATCTTCAGGAAACAGGGATGGGCACTAAATGGCTTTTGGCATGTTGCAGGCAAGTGACATGGGCTCTAACTGATTCAAGAGTCTGGTGCTCAGCCCAGGAATGCAGAAGCTCGCAATCACAAGAGAGTCTTATTAAAGAATCCAGGGACTGGGGCAAGGCTGTCTCCAAGTTTCTATGGTATCTATCTCTCTGTGTAGGGGCAGAGGGACTATGTAACAAAAGGCCAGTTGTCTTAACAAAAATGCTTGGAAAACCAAGCCTTTGAGAATTTCCCAAACAGAAATGAGCACGCTTAGAGACCACCTGACTAATTAATATGACCCCCCACTTCTGTTACCAAGGGAACCTGGGCAATCTACTTTGAATATCCTTTCTGGAGTTGTTTCTAACTATCCCAAGATTAAATGAAATATTTCTAGTAAATACCTGGCCTTGACCTAGCCACAGAATAAAAACTCACTGACATTACAGGGTCGTGGCTATACCTTAGGCATTTTCCCATCAACCTTGATGATCAACTGACACAGCAGTACATGATCAGATCAGAAAGTGTATAAGCTGAAAATAGGGTTGGAGACAGAAAGTCCAATGTGTTGCTGGCCACTGTGCTGTCACTGCTCCCGATACAGGTGTAACCTGAATCCCCACCTGGGAGCCAGAAATCAGCTGAGAAGAGGCCTGTGGAGACGCACTGCCCGGGCCCTGGAGAGTGGATGAAGTGAGGCCTCCACACAGCTCATCGTACTGAGCAGACTAGACTGTTCCTGACTTGTACTGAAGGGACTGGGTAAGTGCCTTCTGTAATGCCTAGAGGATCCTTGGATAACCTGGAAGTTAGGACAAGAGTCTGGCGCTTGACCCTGAGCAGAACATTTTGAGAGAGAGCCTACTGAATGAGAGTGCCCTGCTTCTAACTTCCTGGCAGCCTCTCAGCCTTATCAGACTCTTCCATGTAAAGCTAATGCCGAGGCGCAGGGCCCTGACAGTGGTCCGACACCACGACCCGAACATCCGGACACACATCCAGGACCGGGAGAGCCCAGGCCTTCCCGGAGCTTCTCCTTGAGACCTGCAGGCCGTACAAGGACCCTGAAAGGTTTAGTCCCGCCTCAGGGTCCGGGCTCTTCTTCCCTCCTGGGAAAGGGAGTTTGCTCTAGGAGATGGAGGAGAGGTCACAGAGGGGCACTCTGCATCCCTCTCTCTACGGTGGAGGGGCCAACCCACATTTCCTTTCCGTAGCAGCCCAGGCTCTCGGGGAGGGCGGGCTCGGACCGGCGACGCCATGGTCGAGAAGTGTGTGCAGGGGCGGCGGGGAGCTGCGCTGTCCGGGAGAGAATCCTCTGCTCCAAAGCAGGGCAGGCCCCATTCAGCAACTGGGGATCCCACCACGCTGGTTATCTCTCTTCCGGTCCCGAGCGTCCCGGGTCTCCGAGGCCCCGCCCCGCAGCCCACTGCCTGCTGGGATTTGTAGTTCGCGGGAGCGGACCAGCACGGCCTGCGAGCGCGTGAGTCAGTGTGTCCCGAGGTCCGATGCGGCGTCCCGGTCCTCGTGACTCATGCCTGAGGGCTCACTGGACCTGAAGTCACAGGCCACAGGTCCCGAGGCCCGGCCCCGTGGCCCACTCCTTCTGGAACTTGTAGTTCAGACTAGGGTTCCGGCCTGGATGGGGCCGGGAAAGGGGGGATGGCTGGGGTGGGACCACTCTGGCGTGGTGCCATCCTAATTTTTCACTGTCCTGGATCTTGACAGTAGGCCTGGCACAGAACTCGCAGCTCCGACCGGGATCCCTGTGGCCCTTTCTGTGACCTCAGCGGAACCTGCAAGCCCAGCTTCTAGATGGGCAAACTGAGGCACCAAGAGCTGAGGCTTCTGGCTGCAGTCTGCCCTGGTGTCAGGCAGAGCCAGGCCCGAGTGTAAACTTGGGAAAGGAAAAGCCAGAGTGAGGACTTGGCCTGGGAGACCCGGCCCAGGCCTGTGGGTCACGCTGGGCAAGGGGAGGGTTCAAGGACCCTTTCAAAATGTCTCAAAATGAAGACCAGATCCGCCCGGGACGGGCTGAGCATAGGAGAGCTGACTACCTCAGACAGTTGACAGGGAAAGTTTTTATTTGCCATATTTGGCAGCCCTACAGAGGGAGCTCAGGGAGGGAAGACGTTTCTTGTCAAGAAAATCAAGAAATGGGGTAACCCTGTTCCACAGTTTGCTTTGAGGATTACATAAATGGGGTTTGGGGGGTGGGCTTTTTTAAATTGAAGTATAGTTGACATACAATATTAATCTCAGGTGTACAACATAGTGGCAGTTATATATATTAGGAAATGTTTATCACCATAAGTATAGCTATCACTAAGTATAGTTACCATCTGCGGCTAGGGGTGTTGTGAAAAGTATAAAGTTCAGGGCCTGGGTGAGAAGTTACTATCATCAGAATTTGAACCTGAGACAATGGAGGAAAGGGTTCGGGCCATCAGGAGCTTCCTTTTAAAAGGGAAGGTGGTGCACTTAACTACAATTATGTAAGATGTCCCCATCAGGAGAAGCTGGGTGGTAGGCACATGGACCTGTATATACTATTTTTTTTTTGAAAAATTTTTAAATGTTTGTTTATTTTCGAGAGAGAGAATGGGAAAGGGACAGAGAGAGAGGAAGACATAGAACCTGAAGCAGGTTCCAGGCTCTAAGCTGTCAGCACAGAGCCCAACGTGGGGCTCAAACCCACGGACCACAAGATCATGACCTGAGCTGAAGTCGGGTGCTTAACCAACTGAGCCACCCGGGCACCCCTATACTATGTTTTTTAAATGGGGTGCAATCAGGTCAGGGATGGCCTTACCACTCAAAGATTACAAAGCCCTTTGAGTGTTTTGTTTGTTGATTGCTTTATTGAGTGTACAATTCAATGTTTTTTAGTATATTCACAGACTTGTGCAACTATCACAATTTAATTTAGAACTTTTTCATCACCCCAAAAAGTAACCTGCACCTTTTAGCAAGCACCCCCTAAACCACCTTATTCCCTCCAACCCTAGGCAACCATTAATCCACTATTTATTTCTACAGATTTGCCTATTCTGGACATTTCATGGAATCATATAATACATGGTCTTTTGTGATGGGATTCTTTCACTTAGCATGATGTTTTAAAAGTTCATCCAGGGGCGCCTGGGTGGCTTAGTCGGTTACGCGTCCGACTTTCGCTTAGGTCATGATCTCGCGGTCCGTGGGTTCGAGCCCCGCGTCGGGCTCTGGGCTGACTGCCAGCTCAGAGCCTGGAGCCTGTTTCAGTCTGTGACTCCCTCTCTCTCTGACCCTCCCCTGCTCACACTGTCTCTCTCTCTCTCTCCTAGAAATAAATAAAACATAAAAAAAAAAA